TCTCTCTCTCTCTCTCTCTCTCTCTCTCTCTCTCTCTCTCTCTCTCTCTCTCTCTCTCTCTCTCTCTCTCTGCCTTCGCATGCATGCCTCTCCTCCCACCAGCACAGGAAGCGGCGTGCACCCAAGCTCGTCGACTGAAGGAGCGCCCACCAACATCAGTGCTGCCAAAGAAAGCCACGACTGCCCACGTATATATACACACAAAGGCTGCCTACCGTTTCTCGTCCCGACGTCCACGCCGACTGTCCCGTATATATATATTGCGGGGCACACCGGAACATCGTGTCGGAACAAGGGACAGGACACCCAACGTGGATGTCGGGACAGGGAAACGAAAGCCGGTCTATATATATATATATATATATATATATATATGATTCATTGAAATTTTCTTTGTGCACCTTTGTGCTTTTTTTTTATTTTATTTTAATGACCTGTTATCTAACGCGATGAGGGGTTTGTGTCCACCCTCCCGTGTGCACCGTTGTTCCCCCCATCCGCGTGACTCGCAAAACCCCCCACAAGCATCTCGAGGACGGTGTTCCCCCGACGCATGGCATCTGCGACGTCACCACTCTTCGCTGTGATCGCTGAGCCGGCCTTCGACGTTGCCTTCGCCAGAGTGGTAGCGTCCTTATCCAGACCTTCGTTGTACGACGGTGTTGCATCCTCCATCGCCCTCCCCAATACTCTCCCACCGCTGGTCGTGTCGTCCATCCTCGCTTTGCCAGTATTCGTCCTCTGCGTCTTCGCTGCACTTTCAGAATCTTTTGTTGCTCTACCGTCGGAACCACTTTTCCCCGACGAGGGCTGTGGTGGACCGGTCTCCGCTGATGGCCCTCCCGCGTTACCCGAAAGGTTCTCCAACGCCAGCATGTTGTCACACTTGATGGAGGGCGGATTCAGTTGTCACTCCATCGCTTCCCACAACGTTTTCTCAAAGCCTACTGGCACCTGTTCCGCCTTCCGCTGCTCCATAGTCATGTCCCAGTATGAAGGTTTGTCTGAAGCATTCTCACACTTGTCGAGAATCAACTTCGCTGCAGCCATCATGCTCTGCCACTTCTTACGGCAATCCTCCGCCGACGTGTGCGGAAACCCGTGATCTGCCATTCGATCGTGCACCCACTCAAACCGCTCCTTCCTCTTCTTGAACCGATGCTGGCCCTCAGTGTCGGCCATCACGGCGTCATCCTCAACCATCAATCTCAACAGTGTGATCCTCTCCTCCAAGCTCCACTAGATGTTCTGTTTTTTGTTTTAAGCAGCACCATCTTTGCCCCCCCCGCTCGTTTCCACGCCTGCTGCTTTGGGGCCCGACCACATTCTGGCCCCCATCTGTCTACCCAACACTGTCCCTATCGCCCTGCACGTTGTCGGAGTTCTCTGCATCATTGTTACCGCCATCGCCATCACCTTCACCTTCGTCGTCGACAACATACTCATCTTCGTCACCAACAAAGGAACGGCCTTGCAACCCAGCAAGCGACGAAGTAGCACTGTATACGGGCCACCCCTCATCCATATCCTCTCCTTGCACATCTACCATTGAAGGCGAAGGCGAAGGAAGCAAATCGCCTGACTGACATGGGCAAAGGAGCGGGCATTCCGCCATGCAGTGCCTGCGACGTCTGTCCGCATTGCGGGGACCACTGCCAATCATCCCTCATTACTCCGCCCCTTTCCACAGTGTGCTGGGTGGGCTACATGTGCGTGGCAATGCCATACCAACCGCCGACTGGGAACGTGTGTGGACCGGGCATGCCATACCCACCTCCAACCTGTGTGCAATATGAGGTTTGGCCCGTGTGCATGGGGGCCCTGTGCAGAGTATGTGCAGATGGCCGAACAATGAACCGCCGACGTGCACCTGCAGCATGGAGCAGTGATGGAGAGGGCAGTGGAGCAGGCGGGACATGAATCGGCCCGGCCCGCACACCCTCGTACAACTGGCCACCGAAGGATTGCGCTGTCGCCGGTGAAGGCGAGGAGTACGGGACAGATCCTTGCGTAGGCATGTTCTGGGACTGGAATCCCCCATCAATGCCTGCACAGGGATCTGTCGTCGACCGATACGACTCGATTTCGTCGCGAAGCGCCGACAACGAAGGCAACACCCAACACCACGTACTGCTTCCTCCAAGAACACCCCTTCGGTGCTATCTCCACCCACAACAACAGAAGTACAGGATCACACACCAAAAAACAACCGACAAGAAGAAAGTTGTCGAAAGGATGATGACGACCACAACCACCCCTACGAAAACAGCCGAAGATGTATTTTTTCGTCGTCCGCCTCCGCTGCAATTGTTAATGACAAGATCCACACAACAGCATTGATGGCACCGGTCACATCCACACGGGCGACGATAGCGTTCGACGACTGACACGTGGCGAGTGTGTGGATGAGGATTTATAACCACACCCTCATGTGCAACCCATCCCTGCCCACATATGCTGAAGTTGCTCTCTGGCGAGGACAAATGAGTGCCTTGGCGAGGTAGACGAAGAAGTGAGGATGGCAAGGGAGGAAGACGACGGAGCACGTAATGTGTCACGACCATAACACGGGAGCACAACATCGGTCTGTACGTGTGTGCACGGGCGCACACCGACAACGCAGGTTCCTTGTCCACGCATTCCAGAGACACTGCTCGCCACACAACCCACAACTTCCGAATATAAACCCCGGCCTGAGACCGCCTAACGACGCCACCCGAAACGGCTTCCCTGTAGATAGGCCTCAGGCCCTGCACGCGTGAAGGAGATGAGTGATGGCATCATGCACGGACAACGCAGGGCAGGAGTGTTTAATGGAGGTGTCGGCGACGGCCAGCTATCAGAATCACTGCTCATGCTCCCCATGCATGCGCAAGAAATGAATGTTGCGATTGCATGGGTGGCCTTCGTCCTCAACCCGCCAAAATTCGGATTTTGAATGCTGCAGCATGCCGTTCGTAAAGTGAGGGCAGCATGGATGGCCCAGACCCCCGAGCCCTTGGGGAAACCGTGCGACTGCAAAAAAACAAGAGCATCATGATGTCCGCAGCTGCCTCCCGGTCCAAAAAACGGTCCACGACGACGGTGCGTGTTCCACGCCGTCCAGCCTTTGTTTGGAAACGGATGGATATGGTACCCCCCCCTACTCGTCTGGACGCCTCCTTGGAAAGGGAAGGGAAAGCGGTCAGCGTTGAATTTCCAGACCGCCGACCAAGTAGAAACGCCCCGTCAGCATTTCCGCGACCTGCTTCCAAGCACGGTGGGGTTTGGAATTCCTTTCCGGGCCTACTTTCCACACCGGTTTCCAACACATGTGGGGTCTGGAAAACACTACATCACCTAAACTTTTCCAGGCCGCCGCCCAGTGGGGTCTAGGCCTGAGAGTGCCCCTCTCTTTCGCGAAAGAGCAGGGGTTCGGACCGTCGGTAGAGGAATAATAGAACGCCCAACGGTTTCCATTTGGGGAGTGAAGAGGCCAAAGGTAATTTGGACCCCACTGGCCGGCAGGTGGAAAAGCAGACCAGCCACAAAAAACGGGCAAAGGCATGTGGAAAGAAAATGACAGATTTCAATCGTATCCCATCGCCACCGCAAAAACAGGAACTAGAAACGATGCCACTTTCTTGAAAAGGAAAATTTGAAGGGGTCCCTCCCGAATAGGTAAGTTCGTAAGGACTGTCCATCACAAAATTGTCCTCTGCACCGTCGATTGGGCCACACACTCCAACGATTTGGAAAACCTCTGTTTGTTTGTTTTTTTTTTTTTTTTTTTTTTTTTTTTTTTTTTTTCCCCCCCCCCCTGTCTCTTATACACATCTAG